CATTCTTTGGGCTTCGGCCCCAATCAGTGCATCCCGAATAGCTATTCCCATTGATCTCAAGTACATGCCTTTTGCCTCTCACCTTGAAAGGCCCTTTTAGTTTTCAGTTACATGTTTTACACAGAAGCATACTGCTATCGCTTTTGCGTATAAAATTTTATGATGATATAAGTGAGACTTCCTGCTAGGTATGCAGGTGGCATCTACGATGCAAGAACTAGATGGAGAAGAGCAACAACGCTGACTCTTAAACTGACCATAACTCAGCGAACTGGGAAGCAAAAGTGATCAGGAGAGATGGTCTCCCACGTGAAAATGCTGGATCAGAATCCTCTTTGAATTCTCCCAGGTTTATGTCTCCTCCCATGTGGAGATACGCATGTGTACGTCCGTGTGAATTAAAAAATTCACAAGTGATATTCAAGCTGAAAAGAGAGGTTTTGAGTTCTAGGGCATCTTGCTTGTTTTGTTTCTTGTTTTTTTTTTTTTTTTTCCTCAGCAGGTTTTCCTGTACACTGTCAAGTTCACACTGAGGAGGTCTGGCAGGCCCAGGTCTGCCCTGGCCAGCAGCCAGCCATGTCCCGTCTCCTCTAATCTATCTTTGAGTATCCACGACCCCAGGGCACCATCACAGGAGCCTTGGCCATATCCCAAATTGAAAAAGAACAACAAGAATGCTTATTTTTACAAAAGGTGGAAAAGCAAATACATCAAGTTTGTCTTCTTCTATTTTCCTGGACCTCCATCTTTGGACAGCCACCCCTACCCCGCTGAGCCAGGTGGCTGGTACAGAGCTCTGCTAAAAGGCACAGAGGACCCTGCCAGGTGAGATGTGATTCTTGGAATGACATGTAGACTGCTTTGGGGGGAGGTTCTGCCCAAAAAGGCTAGAGAAACTAGCAATTTCTTATAATTCAGCAACAGGTGCTAAACACAGAGACGAAAATTAATTAATTAATTCGCAAAGCCTTTTTTTTGGACCAGAATGTGATGCGTGGAAGGGGCTCAGAGTCTGATGATCCTAGTACGTTTCGATAGCAATCATTTCTTGAAATAAGAGTATGAATAAAGCATCTTTGCACCATATATTTTCTTGAATTATCTCTACCAGGGATCTAAAAGAAAAAGTTCCTGAAATTTTCCTTATAACTAAATCTGACCTGAAGGGTGTGATAGTATTTTCCTTAGGTACAGAATATCAGTGCCAAACCTAAGACTCAACATACATTTCTGGGATACAGCACGCTCCAGAGGCAATCATTAAACCAATCACGATTTTCATCACTTGTGCTTCCTGGTAAAATCTCTGGCTCCTGTGTCCTGGGAAGTCTCCCTTATGGGTTAGATAACCTGTCATCTTACGTAGCCCCTTGAGCCTTTCTTCAAGATGTCTTAAATTTAAGAGAAGAAAACTTGTATGTTTTTATAAGCCAACATTGACCAAATCAGTTAGTGCTTTCTTGAATATTATTTCTCCGATAGTATTTGAAAAGATTACAGGTGTAATGCCCATTTGTAAATTTGTAAATTACAAGTACAAAAAAGAATCAATCACTGTCTTCCGTCTTTGCTGTTACTGCCCTCTTTCTAGAGACACAGTCTTTTAAACATGCATAGATTTTATATTTGCAAATGTCACATATTTTACAAAACTGGCCAGGTTTCATCATATCTGTGCACGCACCTGTTTTTGTATTTCTTTCTTCCTTTTTCTCGAATCACTACATAGTCTTTAAAAACCTGACTTTACAAGCAGTGCAGATATTAAGGGATGTATGACATCTGACCATCTTTAAAGCTGTAAACCGATCGAGGTGAGTGAGATCAGTTTGTGGGGCCCTCAGGTAACTTGCCGTCTGGCTGTTAGTAGATGCAGATGGACAGCGAGAGGCCTGGGGACACGCCCATTTCTCACCTCGCTGCCATCTGGTAAGGTGATGAATCAGGCCCTTGTCCCGCTGGAGGTGGCCTGGCCTTTGATTCCTTCAGACACCTTTGTTGGAAGGGCAGCTTGCTCTCCTCAAGTGCAAACCACTGGAGGAAGTCCTCGGGGTGAAGTGCTCTCTTGGGCTGAGACTCCGGGCTGGCTCAGATGCCTGTCTCTCCCACACGGGGCACCGCCTTGACTCGATGCCCTCCCTGGGCCTGGCCAGGAGGCCCGGTGGATTTGGTGGAGGCCTCCTAGCCCTCTCCTTCTTCCCTTCATCTCAAGCCCTTCATCTCTGGGCCTCCACGCTCCTCCCCGGCCCAGGCTTTTGAGCTTTGCCTTCCTTCCATCGGTCGTTAAATGCAAGAGTTTTTACTTTTGACTTTTTATATAGATGGAACTTGACAACACACACTCAAATGGATTTTTCAAACCAGCATGACTATTACCCTCATTAAGTTTGATACTTAATTTTCAGGCGCTTCAAAATATTTTCATATTAGAGTGAGCCCAGTTAAAAAGGCTTTAAAAAAAACTATCACTTGATTGAAGCCATAACTTTGAAGCTTCTTTATAAACAACAATATTCTACTGTATTGTAACTTATAGCAGTTACAATAAAACTTTCTTGAAGAAATCATTTTTTCCTTAGAGGCTATTGTAAGAAAAAAACAGGACAAACGACCCATATTAATTTGCATTTAGACTCTGGCAAAAATCACAAAATTGTCCTGATCACCTTGTTAAGAGTCGGCAGATGGACATGAACAGATAGGAGACCTTTGCTGTCTGGCCATGGCTTCTTTCTCATGATGTTGACAAGATCCTTGTCACCTGTCTGGTGACAACTTCACCTTTCTCAACTCAGGAAAGAGCTCATTGATGTCATAACATAGGACGAGAAGGGCAGCGTTCTACGCCTGGCAAGTAGCTTACTCCAAGGTCTCCTGCAGGTGGCTAACAGCTTTAAGGTGGGGCCCTATCTCGGGGTGAAGTCCGTGAACGTTCTCTCCTGACCCCACTTCCCAGGACCCTATCACTCCTAATCTCATCTGTCAATAGAGAGACTTCAGGGCACATGGGTGCCCCTTGGAAAGGTGGAGCAAGGGTTCAGGATTCAGGGCGGAATCTTACTAATGAGACACCAGTGACAGGCACTGGGGCCATCGGAAAGATGCACTTCGGAATCTGAGCAGCAGACGAGAGAGAAAACCTTGAAATTAGAGGGGATTTGGTCTCCGTTTAAAGTTTTTTCAGTCAAGGCAAAACACCATATTAAGGCAATTTTCTCAGTCCGCCTTTGGAACTGCCGGGGCCCATCTGGGGGTTCTGACTCCTCCGGGGGCAGGCGAGACCAGGGGGTTGTGACCACGCGCAGACTGAGAACTGAATTCCTGCCCACATGCGGTTCCCCGTTTGCCCTTTACTGTGCTCGCTCCCTTTCCAGAAGAAAGCGGTGTAGGGTCTGGGCCCGAGGTTATCATACTGCTGCAAAAGGAAACCATGAGAGCCCATTATACCTTTGTTAGGCCATGTTTAGTTTATCGGACACTGAAAATGTTCGGAACCCATCACGGCCTGGCTCCCTTAAGCACCAGGTAGGAAAACTGAGGTATCTGCCATCACTTAGTATAACGCCTGGCACACAGGAGATTTTCAATAAACACCTGGTGGCTGACGACTGTATTCCCCGGATGGGAAGGTTGACTTAGGAACGACTGCTCTTTCAAAAGGCTCCTATGACTCAGGACACGGAGCAGAGACCCAGGGCACAGACCCAGGGCGGGAGAAAACGCAAGGCTGGGAACTTAGTTCTCAGAGTGAAAGGTCATATTGAAGAGGCAACGCGCATGTGTCTCCTAAATTACAGGTGTGTTTAAACTGGAACACACAGAGCCAGGTGTAGAAGCACCTGGAGCAGCCTCAGGGCCCACAAACAGCCAGAGAACTGGAGCCTACAAAGATGCAAACACTGCCGTATTCAAGTCAAATTTAGGAATTATATTTACGAACGCGTTCGCATTATCCTTACTCTTCATAAAGTAGTTCCTTTAACCCTTACTCTAGGTGAAATGACTCCTAAAAGAGTTTCAAAAATGGCGTGCCATGAGCCAAATAGATACGTTGCATATCTATTTTGAATGAAAACCCTGGTGAGAGTGTTGTAGGTTCTCTTGGGCTTTCTCAGTCGTCCAAGGCTGGGGACAGCCGGATCTGGGTCCGGAGGACCCCAAGCAGCTGAGATCTGACCAGTGTCCAAAGGAAAGGTGGACGTATAATCAGTGTGGGGGGGAGGGGGAGGCTGGACCTGTGACCAGTGTCTGGGAGGATGGGGCAAATCTGGTGGCAGGAAGGACATTGCTTCCCCCTGCTCCCTTACCTGGGGGCCCGCTAGCTGAGGCGTTCGGCTTTCCAGAGGCCCCAGGGAGAGGGGTGGAGGTTATTCCGACTCCTCCAAGGCGGAGGGTCGCTGCCTATCAGCCTGCACTTCACAGCAGGACAACCACTTCCAGCTGCCCCGGGTGAAGCCTACTCGTCTTGCAGAGGCCTCTCCAGCTGGGCAGCTTCCTGCATTCATCAGAGTTGCTCCCCGCCCCCAAACTAAGGACTGTGATTCTCTGACTGCCACCTCCATGTCCCCCACACAGTCAGGGCAAGGTCGCATCTCCGAACATTTCAAAACGTGCTGTAAAATCCATGCCCGATTTCCGTGTTTCTCGTAAGCTTTTCGCGGACCGCATCGACCCCCTGCATCTGCTGCCCGCGAGGCACCTGCCCGGCGCCCACAAGGACCCGACACCTGCGCGCTAAGCTGCAGCGGCACCTGGTCTGACTGTGCGCGCGGGTCCCAGGGCGCCTGCCTGGGCCCCCCCCGTGGCTCTTTCTCTTTTTTAAAATTTCCTGTCTCAACGCAGCAGGACGCGGCGGAGTCCTTGAACGTTCCTCTGTCCCGGCTGTGAAATTCCCCCAGGACCACCGTGCAGACGCGGCAGCGGCGTCGCGGAGCGCGGGGACCCCGCACCTAGACACGCGGGAGGGGACACGCGCGCGCAGCGGCGAGCGGCCGCATCACCTGGTCTTGCGATTTCTTCTTCTTCTTCTTCTTTCCCCAGCACCCGGAGCTCTCGGCGTCTTTGCCGTTGGCCTCCCCGCAGAGCAGCCCGTCTAGCTCGTCCGTGCCCACGTGCTGTCCCTGAGACGTCTCCGCCGCCAGCCGGTACGACAGGTTCCTTAAAATGCACACACAGTTTTCAACGGTCTACGGAACCCAAAAAAAGAAGGAAACAGAAAGTGAATGGATAAAAAACGACCAGCACTCCACCCAGAAAAGCAAGCGGTCCTCATACACCTCTCTCTGTGGATGTACTGAGCTGCAGGTTCCCGAAGGACGCCCCCTGACGCTAGCCTCACGCCGGCCGCAGTGCAGAGAGCTTAGAAAGGCTTGGAAAGGTCTCAGGGCCTTTTCTCCCTCAAAAAACAACTTATCAACAAGAGTTGCTTCTATAAACAGCTGCATTGTTGGCTGAAATTCGCTTGTGAGTGTGGAAGAGCCCACGACCTCAAGAGGTCCCAGAGGCTGTCTGCTTACAGATGTCTCCTGCATGGGACCCAGGCACAGAATCACCAAGAGCATGGATAACCAGATTTCCATCAGCTCTGGAAAGGTGACGCTAAGGTCTACTGTGCAACAGGGTGTTTTCCGGGAGAAAAAATGGTACACGCCAGGTGTGTCCCAGGCAAGCGAAGCATGACGTTTGCAAGTCATTGGTTTTGAGATGGCTGGTGCTCTGATTGTCTCAGTAGGGGGGTGAAACAGTGCTTAAGGACGCGTGTTGCAGAGCTGGACACTGGTAGAACCCTAGGGCTCTGACGACTGGCTGTGTGACTTAGACGAGGCCCCTGACGTCTCCGTGGCTCCCTAACTTGCACCGCCATGGTCATCACTGTACCCATGTTTTAGTGTGCTGGGTGGATTAGGTGAGCTAGAGCATGTGCATGTGGTAGGCAGAATAATGTCTGCTCCCCCTGCCCCACCCCACAAGATGCCCATATCTTCATCTCTGGAGCCTGTGAACATGTCAGTTTATGTGGTGGCGGGACTGAGGTCCCAGGTGGAATTAAGCTTGCCAATCTGGTGACCTTCAGATGGGGTGGTGACCCTGGGTGATCCAGGCGGGCCCATGCAATCAGGAGGATCCTGTAAGTGGAACAGGAAGACGGAGGAGTTGTGAGGGGGACATGACCTGCCACTGCTGGCTGTAGAGATGGAGGAAGGGGCCACGAGCCAAGGAATGCTGGCGGCCTCTAGAAGCCGTGAAAGGCAAGGAAACGGCTTCTCTCCTAGAGCCTTCAGAAGGAGTGCAGCCCTGTCGATACGTTGATTTTAGCCCGACAAGACCCATTTCGGACTGGTAATCTCTAAAATGGTAAGATAATAAATTTGTGTTTCTAAGCCACCGCATGGTGGCGATTTCTTACAGCGGCAACAGGAAGCGAAACTGTTGTTTACGTACGGGGAAGAGCTTCTCGAATGCACTGAAGTCCACGTAAGGAACAGTGGCGGAGAAAGCATCACTTGCAGATCCAAGGCATGTGACTTTGAGCCCGGCTCTGCCATGTAATGAGCTGTGACCTTGCTGTGTGCACAAGGTTAAATCTCTCTGTGATTCTATTTCCTACTGCCAAACTCCATCGCACTGGAGATTAGGTTTCAATATGTGAATTTGTTTTTTGGAGGGGAGGCACACGTTCAGCCCAAGGCATCAAACTTTTGACCTTTGCTCTGGATTTGAAGAACCACGTGATGAAGGGGGGAAAAAAATACCCGATCTAAAAAAAGGACAAAATAATGGTGGAAAAAAATTGAACTGGGGTCACTTTTATTTTTAAAAGCATGCCAATCATTTTTCAGGCACCTACTGCGTGACAGCCACCAATTCAAGGCAAAGGACATCAGTCCATATTACAGATGAAGGTGACACGGTCCAAAGCTGTTGGTAGGTCATACCAGACTGTGCCACTTGTCCCCAGTCTTGGACTGGGGACAGTGAGGGCGGGACTGGGCACCAGATTGGAATCCGGTACAAGGCAGCATGTATCTTTGACTTGACTATGGAGACATGCAAATCACCCAGGGAAAACTGGTTTTCGGGATCTATCTCTGGAGCCTTGCCATTCTAGACCTTTCTTGTCAGCTTTTCAAGGTTTCATGGCTGCTAATCCCATAGGCTTTGAGTCAACTTGATTTTCTATTCCAAGCATCCTCTCGGTATCAAAAAAGCACCAGCATGAAAGCAGGTAAACATAGGACGATGCATGAAAGAGGGAAAAAATCCCTCCCGGAAAGGAAAACGTTATGGCCTAAGTCAGAACGATTTTTTAAATCAGTGCAAACTGGTTTTTCTTACATCAAAGACTTGGAAGAATAAACTTCCTTCTCATCTCGCTGTTCGTCTTCCCCGGGGGCCTCTCTGTGCCTCTGTTTAACAAAGGACAACTGAGGACAACATCTGCCGTTTGGGGAAATGCTTTGTGATCTACCTGTGGCTGGGTGATGATTTAGGGAGAGGCTGGACAGCGCGAGAGAAAGTGGGGACGGGTCAGGCGGGGAGGCGAGGAGGGGGTGTCCAGAGGACACCATGGGCCAGGAAGGCCACAGGGATTGAATGAATCTTAACCTCTCCTCCCCCCACCCCCCATTCCCTCGTTAAGTTTGGTTTTGGAGAATTACAATTCAAGCACTTTTCTCTAAAGGGACAGGAAAAGGGACAGATAAAAGACAGCCACTGCCTTTCTTTGGGATTCAAGCAAAAGGCATGTGGCAGCTGGTGGTTTTGCTTCTGACATCCATTGCTGTCAACAATGCTTTTAGCAGTTCCTTGTGGTCACCAGGGTCAGTTTGCCTCCTTATTTTCTATTAGAAAGGGCTAATTTGGAAGTTGTCCGAAGACTGCTCTGCCATATGTTACCCATTCAACAAACGTCCCAGTGACAGGAGCTGAGCTGAGAGCTTGCATGAAATCCAGGCTCTTATTCATTAACTCCGTTGGCCTTAAAGAGAACACGGACTCATTTTTTTCCCCTTCTAACTTGTCATTGTGAAAGCTTACAAGTGGCCAAGCAGAGGGCTGAGTGGAAAATTAGGGGACAATAATATGTCAAGACTCAAGAGCATATCCTGGCCAGCAAAGCCTTGATCTTTCCCACAGCTATGAAACCCTCCTTGTGACAAAGTTGAGGTCGCTCAGGCACGGTCCCCTAGTCAGTGGGAGGTGGAGATGGCACATCCACCAGCCTATTCTGATGCAGAGTGTGGTGCTCCGGCTGCTCCGTCAGGAATACCCGATGATCCAAATCTCATGGAGCTTGACTGTTGCGATGATTCCAATTTCCTTTTTGGAGGAAAATGCAGAATTTAAGAGAGGATCTCGAAGGTCTTCCAAGAGTTTTAGGAGTCCGGTCATCTGCTCTATCATAAAAAAAGGAATGCGTGCCTCATGGCACAGTGGTTTTGACCCAGGCTCCCGAAGGCTGCCATGGACACTTGGCCAAGGCCGCAGGCTACTGACTTTATTTTCGACTGCAAGGCTCAGGCAGCATTAAAACCCTCCCAGTATCCATTCCAGTTAGAGGCTGCGTGTCTCAATGCCTCAGTCTTTACCACTCTGAATACACAGATCCTGGCGTTGTGGCTTCAGTGAATTACCTGGCTCTTTTTAAAAATCACGTGTCTATCATGTTAACAGGCATCTGGAAATACTCAAGACATCTTGACCGGTCACTTCTTTAGAGACCAAATTTCCTGTTGATGATATGAAAATGGCCATTAAGGGTGTTTGCAAGAGGGGTCGATAAAATTTTTATTCCGTCATATTCTGTCTTGGAAACCGATGACATGTATGTGGTAAATGAATGAACGCGACGTAACCGAGTGGCAGCGATAAGTTGACAAACAGTGTCCGTAACTGGAGTCCACTAGGACTCAGGGGTGAAGTCTCAGAAGACATTGTTAACCTAAAACCTAGGGAGTGGGCTCAGGCGTGTCATTTCCTAAATCTCTCAGTCACTCTACTATGTCGTGAGGCTGAGAAGTGCTATGCTAGATCATCCCCCACGCCGGTCAGTAACCAAATGGACAAAAAATAAAATCACTCTTATTTGTTCTTTATCTGACTTCGCAACTACATTACATTACACCATATCCCCTCAGTGTATCTACTGAGGTGAGCTTTTACTCCAAGACGCATGTCGAAGCACCCGGGGACCAGAGTTAGACCCTTCGCTTCAGAGGGTGGTGGTGGGTCCCAGGAACATTCCTGAACTCTCCAAAGGCAAATCTAATGAACAGTGGGCACTGGAAACCACAGGATTAAGGTATGCTGCACAAGCAGGGCCAATTTGCTCCCCATGGGACCACATGTGACAATGTCTGGAGACATTTCTGTTTGTAACATCTAGTGGGGTGGGGTGAGGATGCTCCTGGCATCCAGTGAGTAAGGGTCAGGGTTGCCGCTTAGCATCCTATACTGCACAGGACAGTACCCCGCTCCCCCACTGCGCAGAGTCACCTGCACAGAACAGCACCCCACACAGAGGCACCTGCACAGGACAGTCCCCCACCACACAGAGTCACCTGCGCAGGACAGTCCCCCACCACACAGAGTCACTTGGCCCAAAACATCAGCAGTGTGACTCCTGAGAAACTAAGGTATCATATTTATCACATGAATTAGCTTAAAAGCAGCAGTAAACTCTGTGTTTATATCAGGATATTATGAAGTTACTTCAGAAATTGATATTTAGGGAGAATCAAAACTAATCAAAAGACAAATTAAGGTAAAAGAAAATAGCTCAAACACTGGAAAAGCCCATCGAATTCTATTTTGGTTTGTGAATGAAAACATTGCTAGACCCTGTGATAAATATGTTGACAGCCTCATTTATTTCGCGTTTTGACAGCATTTATTTAGACTTCATCTGGCATTTTTTAAATGACATTTGATACAATTCACAGTCATTAAAAAGCTAACTTGTAGGAAAGAAGGTTATTGAAATCTCAGGTAGTTTTAATATTTCTTTTTCTTTTGAAAGTGGATTTCATAAAATAAACCCAGAAGCTTGTGGGTACTGTGGTATGCAAGAGTTCATATACTCATTTGTTTTTTTTTAAACACCTGTGGTTCGAGGAACTTAAAACGATCTAAATTTTTCCCCATTACTAATCCAGAACTAAGTGCCTCGTTCTCGGCTAGGATTAGAAGTGCCGTGTAGGAAATGCTGGAGACCAAGACAGATTTCAGAGTGAGAGTATTAAACACAGCGCTCGCCCTCCACTGCTGTCAGCTGCTGCTTCGTCCCTTGGGCATCTTTATTCTCTAAGATGCTTAATCTACGCGAACACAACACACCTTGCTATCGATCTCGCTGCTCCCGAGTGCAGACTGGATCACGTAGAGCAGGGCATCGGTGAGGCCCTCGCACTCTCGCATCCTCCTGCGGGCTTCTTCTCCGGCCGAGCTGACATTCCTGCAAAGCAAGAGGACCCATTAGTCACCTTCTGGGTGCTCACCAGAACGTTCTTCCACGCACGCCGCCTCTCCTAGTTTTAAAGAGGACACTGTGCTTGCCTTTTCAGGTTTATCAAAAATGTAGTTCGAATGAGTAGGGATGTGCCTTCACCACATTCGACTACTTCATCGAATGCAGCCTGGACCTGGGAACGTCACAGGCATCTGTAACGCAAGTCGGGAAATGGAGAAGGCAGAATTCCACACGCGATCCGCGAGGGGCCCGTGACTTCCTTCACCATTGACGAAGGAACCAGAAACTCTGAGTCAAAGGATCCTTCCTCTTTGAGAAGTGTGAGACGTTCTTCAAAGACGGAGCTTCTAACTTCCTGAAATATTTTAGAGGTCTAACCCTGCCTCAAAAAGACACCTACTGTGGTCTCTCCAGAAATAAACTTCTAGGAATTGATTCTAAGAACACAGTGCGGGGCCTCTGGGGGAATTTAGCCATAGGGATGCCCACGCCACTTTTATAGGCAGGAATTAAGCAAGCTCCTTCCTGGTCCGGCACATGCTATTGTAATGTGATGCACGGCTGGGAAGCAGAGAGATTTTCCAGACCTATAAAAAGCACAGTTATTCCCAGTCGAAGGTCGTGACCCTTTGGGGTGCTTTTAGTTACTCCACCACCTGAAAGTGGGTTCTTCATCTCCTAACCTTGGCTGGGATTTGGCTCCAGTTGAGGGTCTGCAGGGCCTGACATTCTGACAGCACAGCCAGTGGAGGGGTACTGGAGGAGGTGGCTTCATGGAGGGACGATGAAGAATTTAAGAAACAGTGCGGAAGGATGATGGAACGAGAGGTCTAGGTTGGGCAATGGCCCTTGAACGTGGGCCAGCCAGAACCGCCCAGAGGGAGCGCCCAGGCAGACTGCAGGCCCACCCTGGGGCGCTGGTGGAGTGGGAGAATTTGCATATTTAGGGGTGCCAATTTTGAGAATTACTACTCTAGCTCTAACTGCAGAGGGAAGGCTTGGGTGGGGAGGGCAGTGCTTCTCGCTGACTGCCCGGTGCAGCCACCTGGCAGATCCTCAGGAAGAGCCTGCAGCAGAATCTGCGTAGGACAAACCCACACACCCACACTGTAATGAACACATGTATTCTCATCAAAACGGCCTTCACTGTTACGCTTCATTCTGTTTTATAGATGAGAAAACTGAGGCTCAAGGAGGCTGTCCGAGGCACATCGGCAGCAGTGAAGAAGCCAGGTCTTCAAAGGTGAAGAAAGCAAGGGTGTGGTGTACAACATGGATGGGCTATTTTTTTTTTTTTTAAGGAATTAAAATAAGATAGGACTAATGTTAAAATGCTACTGACCATAAATGTTTTCTTTGATATCTAAAGAATTCTGTGAAACATGTTTAAATAGGATCTATTGGTGTTTTAATATAATAATGGGAAAGGTTATTCAATTCAAATGAGTATTTTTGGCATTTGCTGATCTTATTATGCAAACCAAATTCCTCAGTTTCTTAGATAATACAACTGGGCAAATGCTGACAGCCTTTTTAGGCAAAGTGTTATAGAGTCCACCCTAGGTGGCCAGCCACGGTTCTGACATTGCCCTGGGAAGTGGGGAGAACCAACTCCTGCGGGGGAGGAAGCGGGGAGAGGCAGGCTGGTCTTCTACACGAGGGCGGGCTTTACAAGGGAGCATTTTTAGGCCATTCCTCCTTGAAGTGATTTTCACCAGGTTGAGCACTGAAGCTGTGAAGAGTTATAGGTTTATCAAAAATTCCAATCAGATCTCTTTGGCCACAAGAAGGCTGGGTGGCGACGAGACGTGTGATTGTGTCTTATGTCTCGCCTCTTTGTCCTTGGACGAGGTCCTGTCTCCACGGAGAGAATGATGGGATTTAAACTTGACAGAGCCTTAGGGGTAGCTTGCAGGCTCCCTTGTCTGAAACCCTCAGCCAGGAATGGTCAGTCTTCCCTGGCTTCATCACGGGGGTGGCTGCCTCCGATTCACAAATAAACTTCATAACGATTGGCTAATTCTCACTGATAATCAATGCTGGGCAGGGCCAACCAATGGGAAGGATCAGAAATGAACAACTTTGTCAGCAGTATAAATTGTCAATATTAATATGGGCAGACTTCATTATTCTAGTTTCTTTTTGTCTAGTCTCTTCCAAAATTAGAAGTTATTAACTGGTTACTATATTAGAACGTGTAAGGTATTAAAAAATGAGAAAGATTAATAATAAGTTAGGGTCCCTTCAGAAAAAATGACTGGGACACACAAACGCATAACACATGCACGCGACACACACACCCCCTACGATTCGGGGAGGAGGTAGTTACAAGTGTCTGCAGGTGAATGAAGATCAACGTATTTTTAAGCAGACTGAGGTATGTGTATGTCTCTTTGTCAATGGATCACAGTGTCCTACAAGCCTTCGGGCTGGGTTTCCATTCTTAATCAACCATTTCTGAACAAGTGAAACCCATCGTGAGCAACTCTGGTTTTACACTCTGCGGGAGAGAAAGGCTTTCTTTTTTCCCTTTTCCCCAAACGTGAGGACTACTGTACCATTCATGCTTCGCTGTTCAAAAATAAGAAACTCAATAACCTTGTGTGTTGATCACTGAACGGTTAGCTGTAATTACGGTCCCAAGGAAGTGTCTGACAATGAGCCAATGTCCAACCTACACGGTCCCCCCTCCCCTTGTACGGAAACCATGTCCTGCCCATCTTGAGGGAGGTGATGTTCCTATCTGGCTAGAAACTGGTACAGCAAAATACTCTGCATCGACATAACATTAAAACGAATATTTGTAGCTTATTTATAAAAAACCGCAATGATGGTATAATATCTTTTCCTTAGAAGTAATTTTTACGATCTCGCTTGAATTGTCGTTTGATATGTCACTTGGAAATTTCTGCTTAAAGTAGATGCTCTAATCGTTTTATCTAACAGATAAAAAAAAGTGAAACTTTTTGTATTAACACTGAAAAGATAAACTACCTCTTACAATCTCTTTCATTCAACTGTGACTAGTTGCGCTGCTTTGCTTCCTCTGTCTTGGGTGCCGGTTGACACCTCATTCTCTAAGCTTCCATCACACACTGTGCTTATTTAAGACGAATTCAATACGTGGGGCTCGCTGGATCCACAGTGGAACTCACACTTACGTTCACATGAATGACCATATAGCATTTTACACAAAAGACTTCATTCTACATGTGTTTACTTCAAACACCTGTTTACTTCAGAGAGACAGCCAGCCCATGCGGGATCAAATTACAGAGAAAACCAGGGAAGAGATTTTTAGCAATCACTCGATTTGAAATTAGCTTCTCCCTTCCCCACAATCCCCTCGCTCTTGGAATTTCCCTTATTTAGCCCCATTTATTTTGTACTGGAATTATTTAGGCTGTGACCCTATGGCTGCATTGGGGCCTTCTGGAGGGCAGAAGGCATGCTGTCATTATGTGCACACCCAGCATGCAGCTGGGTGTCCCAGGTGCTCCGTGCGAGTTGGCTATTACGTGTGCTTTCAGCTCTTGGGTGGACTGGGATTCGTGTGCAGGCCACCTCTGTGCTCCGTGCTCACTGGATCAGTGTCACGTGTCTGTCACACCATTTAAATGCCGGCACTTTATGCTGTGGTTTGTGCTCTGCCACTACAATCCCCATCCTGGGTAAGAAAAACAAAAAGCAATTGTATACAGCATACGACGCGGGGAGTAAACTTGTTTAGGATGAGATGTGAGCTCTCCTATGGTTGTTGGTAACATGAACCACACACACCGCGCTGGAGCGGACGGCACAGTGTTACCGCCCGGAGCGCATCGGGTCCAGTGTCCCGCCATCGTCACGGCCAGGTTCGTGGAAAGCTTTCTGGCTCAAGACCAGCTCGTCTTCCTGTGTTACCCGTTCCCTCCTCTCCTCTCCACCCCACCTTGACCTTTATGCCGCGGCCTCCATTGGGGTCATCTCATACCACGCCCACCACGTCCCCAAGGTCGTTCGGCGAATAAGGTAGATCTGTAGGTACCATCGTGAGAAGAGGAAGCGATACCCTTGAAGGATAGAAGCGAGTTACCTGCGGAACCACCACGGTCAACACCAGCAGCATAGCCGCACGGTGATTTACACGAGTCAGAGATAACCTTAAATGATAAGCACCGGGGGGTACGGTGATGTCCTTTGAGGATGAGGAAGGAAAGAGCGAGGACGCTCACTTTTACTTATGTATTTCCTCCATCGTTTTAAGACTTGTACGTTAGTTTTAGATTAAAAAAAAAAAATCGACGACGAAGAATAAAACACAAGGTCAGGACTGCTGTGAAACCTGTCACTCTTT